TGGAATTTCTGTACGAGAAGAAAATAGGCATCACACAGACAGAGATCATCCATAATGTACCCTGTCACAGCAGTAGCTCTTTCACACAACATATGGCAACAGAATTACCTTTGTACTACCCAACTGAGGGATATAATTTATCCAGTCTGAAGAACTGTTGTGACAGGTAATACATTCAATGCTGCACATGTTTTGCATTTAAATACAGAGGCTAAATATTCACAAGAGTTAACTCTAACAATGAAGTTTTGTTGTTGTTACTATAAATGAGGTTTTCATTTTATGGCAGAAATATCATTTTATGATACCATTCCAAATAGCTAAAAATGATTGAGGCAGTCTTGTCTGTGATGGACAATAGGGAGAAACAACATTAACTTTGTTAATTCAAAACAACTGAGATTTATAGACCATCTATTTCATTACCCTCATAATGAATTTAACTTCTCTTCTTTTGATGTTGGAATGTCAATGAATGAAACATGTTTGACTCTTAAGTACAATGATAGTTATGTTTGAAGTATAAGGCAAGATTTACCAGGGGCACATATTTACAAATAGGTAATTAAATCTGATAGGAATTGTCCTGGAAAGGTATACATTTTCCTTAAATTATGATATGCAAGAGTTGATTTAATGCATGCACAATTTACATTTAATATATTTAAAAACTAAATTTTCTTATTTTTTTGTATCCAGTCATTTGGTCATTAAATAAAATCTTGATCCTTTTCTTTTAGGTACTTTCAAAATTATGTAATATTTATCAGTACAAATAACAATGTTCTGAGATGCATATAGGTTCACAATAGCTGCTTATAGAGACTCTTGGTCCTTCAAAATCCAGATATATTTGGTTGGAATCTTTGTAATCATTTTGCTTATTAGAGGTCAAACTTTTCTTATGAAACATCCATTATAAGTAAAATTCTACTGTGCACTGAATCAACTGAGCTTTTTTTTTTCCAGAGAAGCTAACACACTGTGTTGACTTGGAAGTAAATTTTGTCCTCTTGTTGGATTCTTGGATTCTTTCTAATACACACACAAACACACACACACACACACACACACACACACACACACACACGCATACATTACTGTTCCTGAGATTAACAGATTCTACTTAATATTTGATTGACAGAGTAGGATATAGAACTCATAAGTTCATCTAAAATATTTATCAACTGTTTACTTCAGACTTGTGTAAACTTTCCCAATTTAGTAAAATATTTTGTGTTACTTTCAATTTTAGATTTTTATTTTCTTCAACAATCTCATAAGCGTATTGCACAAAACTCAATGATTAGTGAACACTCAAAAAAAAACCTGAGGATATCTTTATTTCACAATGAAAGTTTATATCATGCTGCAGAGTTAACAAATGATCATATAAGCACTTTTATGTCTTTTATAAAAATTATTACCAATTGCAATATTTTATTTAACTTGCTCTTACATTATATTCTAGAAAGCTAAGAAAAAACACATGTAAGATATAGTTAAGATTATCTTTAGTATGACAAGGAAAAAATTTTAGCATTTTCAAAATAATAGTAACAGTAAAAAAAAAATTTCATATATAAAACAAGACATTCACTAATCTCTACTCAGGGTTTTAATATCTAAGACCTCCCTGTTCTATTAAATGAATGATCATCTTATAAAGAACAATTATCTATTACACATGGGTATGACAAGAGACTGCAGGTTGCAACATATAGAATATCTAGTAGAAAAACACTGGTCACTTGCTGTTATTATTTTTTGTACTATAAAATAAATACAAATTAATATAAAATTAAAAGTTCCAAGTATTATCAGTATCATTGAGCTAGTAAGAACAAAAGTAAAACATTGTTGAAACTGAAAATGGGTTCAAAATAGGTTCAACTAAGGGAGCTATTCTAAAACATAATTATTCCATCTCCAATTTGCATTTAAAGTATTACGGGACACTCTTGATTGGACTTACAGGCTATACAATAGGCCAAAGTACACTGTGAAAGATCATGTTGACCACATGGATTTCATCCTCAATGGTTTCAGCCAGTGAAATTTACTTTTCTTTTAAAATTGATATTGGCTTGGTCATTTATTGTGGGGATAAGTGCATGGAGTACTGCATATGTGGCATATGTAAAGGGCACCTGTGTGGCAAACCACTTACCCTGTAGGCACAGCCCTAGGCATAAGACTACATGTTGAAGTCCTAGCACTTGCTCCACAGTCAGCTCCTTGATTGGTCGCTGCAAGGACAGTTGGCCAGAAATCGTATTGGTGGCTGCCTATAATCTGTTTAGCTACAGCCCGAGTATATGTACATGGTAACCATCAAAAATCAGACCTGCTTCCAGCTTGGTCTCCAGAGGTCTTGTGACTCTGCAGCCACACTCTCCTCTACCCTGTTCCGTGGACCTCCTCGCTGAACAAGAGGGAGCACACACAATTTATAATTTTTGAAGTCCAAGTTTTAGTGTGTTCCACATCATGAAGGTCTAAAAAACATAGTGATTATTCATAACTACTTAACCAAATATAGTTGTATGCCTTCTTATTTGGAAAAAAAAAACCCATCATACTCTACCTTCAATTTACTTTTTGCCTACTCCAAAGGATATCACCTCTTTGCAACAATATGGGAATCAGTGGCTAAATCTGTTTCCTTGCCCTTTATTATCCTTATTTTACCTCGTTGAATTGGAAAATTCAAAAGGCCTAGGCCAAATTTTCAACAATAAACAAATAAACAAAGAATTATTTTCCAAAAAGAATGACAACACAGGTGTGTGGTCACTGAAATAAAATAGTTGATAAAAACTAAAACAGGTCAAATAAGAGAGCAGGGACAGATTGAAATTTTTTTTTTAAATGTGACATCCCTTTCTAAGAATAATTTTAATATGACATTTGTGGAGTATATATTGATGAGTCTCACTTCCACACCATCAGAAAGAGACAGAGAAGGGAGGATGATTGAACAGAGAAACTTTATTCATAATCACATCTTCTTTTTATTGGCCACCTGGTAGACTTTCCATTCACCCAAAATTTCTCCAGATTTTTCTCACTCCAAAGATATCAATAAAAATCGACCTTTCTCAAAAAAATAATCCAACCAATTTTTTTTTCTCCACACTACCTTTACATTTTCAATTCTATAAAACCATGGTATTAGCAACAAACTCTTTTCTCTATTAAGCTTCACACAGTTTTTAAAGTCAATAATATGTTATTAGTGGTGCTGATGACGTAACTCAGGACCTTGTGCATGCTAGAGTTATCATTGAGCTTTAAACCCACCCCATTTGAGATGATTTAAAATGTAGTTTCCTTAGAAGTTTACTATGCTTTATTCAAAGAAAAGTGCTGTCATAGAGAAGGTGAAACTGCAGAATGGTTAGAGCTTGAGGAATGGCAAATACAGTGTCTCATTGTTATATATGAATAATATTAATGAAAAACTTCAACAATAAAAGTTCTTCCCTACATAAGTATCAATTTAAGTGCTAAAGAAAAAATAATTTCTCCCCCATGTATGCAGCACAATGAAAGCAAAATTCCCCCATGTTCTAACTGCACAATGCAGATGAAACTAGAGTACAACGGTATTGCATGATCCATTACAAAGTACACAATTGAAAAAGAAAAATGCCACTTTCATCCTAACATATTACCCTTAGAACAGGTTAAACAATAATCACTCTATAATAATCCAACTGGATTTGGCCTCCAGAGAAAAGCTAGAAAAGTTTTGACAGGAAGAAACTTCATTTTCCAGACTCCAGCACTAAGTTGCAATAAGTGGTTCATTTCCAACTGAGCCAGAGATAAACTTGAGTACCAAGACCTGTCAGACATAAAATTTAAAGGACATTGTGGTAAGGGTTCAAGAGTATGTGCATAGGTTAATCTTAAAAACTGACCACCCACATAATAAGCTTCATGTCCTTGAATAAGAACCTCCTATCCCTTCATATGCAGAAAATGGTTCAACCCAGGGACAAAGAAAGAAATGGTATGGGAGCTTCCTTGAGTGGATATGGACCCTCCCTCAATAATGTTATAATGAATATTCTTCCTGCAAAATCCCTCTGAATTCATATACACCTTAGAAACTTGAACTTCTTACTATTTGAGTCAATTTCGAGAATAGCAGTGTGATAAATGTGGGCCTGTTTTCTTCTTGGTATCATGAAAACTAATATCCAGAGTAATATACTTTGACTATTGTTTCTTAAGATGCTTAAAGAAGGTAAGGCACCTCATATTAAGAACTGTCTCTAATTAGAGAGAAATATAAAAAACAGAGCCTAGAAATAGAGACCAAAATAATCTATTTTACTTCAGGGAAGGAGAAAAAATTGAGGCTAGTATTCAATTTCCACTCAGATTCCTCAGGTTTTAGCTCCCTAAAATCACAGAAGCTAAGTTAACTCCGTCTGTAGAAATATCTTTCAAGTCTTGTTGAAACTGTGCCTGCACTTGACACATAAGAAAAAGCTGCCTTAACAAGACAACAGGATTATTTCTATATGGAAAGGACTGAAGCATTTTATATTACAACAAATCCTACCAATTCAAAAACTTTAATAGGAAAATGCATTAAAAAGGTAAAAGTTTAAAATAAAAGATAATAGAATATCTGAGTATACTTTCGTTGCCAACATATTTTTCTTTCTTTTTAAATTACCTTGCTCTGATTTTTTTCAAGTGAATTTGTTACCATTTTGTAGTGATGCATATAAATAAAACTAATAAAAATTATTCTCTAAAACCAACTTACTAAACAACAACCACTAGCATTTGGAATTGTCTTTACTGCAGATCTGTCACTGGTACTCCCAGAAAAAAATTTACCATTATTTGTAAAATGTTTAGGAATCCCATCTACTTTTACTGTCACATTCATCCCCTTGCAGAGATTAAGTATTCCTTAAAATAAACTCTATGAAGAGAAATGTAAGAGTTGAAAGTTTCACACACAAAAAAATTCAACATTAAAATGAGGCCAGTAGTAAGTATAGTAGCCATCTTTTATAGATACTTTTCTATCATTTATGCTAATAAATAAGGAAGGTTACAGAGAAGGGGAGAAAGAGAGGTGATTTAGTATTTGGCCGTATCACTAGGATGGAAAAAATTGTAGCTAGAAAAACAAAATATCCTCAAAAGTTTCAGCATGGTGTCTAATCTCAGATGTTATTAGTCTGATTGTCTGAAGAGTATAAATCCAGCAGGAAGATGAAGAGAGAACTTTGCTGAAATGTAAATCATGATGGCTAGTGTCTTCCATGTAAAAATACTGAAATATCTGGCAAAATTCAGTTACAATATCTAACAACGGCTTTCATAAAAGTTCTGGAAAAAACATGTCACTATAAAAGAAAAACATTTTGAGTTAGTTGGGATGAGCATAAATGAACCTACCACAGTAGACAAGAGACTACCTGGGGTTATTTTTTGTTGTTGTTCGCGTGTTTTTGGCAGGCGGCGATCATGGATCCAGCTCCTGCTTCTTCTGCAGCTCCATTTCAGCTGCCTTTTGTACAGCTGCATCTACCAGCAAGTGGAAGCTGCTGAAATCCTCGTACTCCTCTGGCCACACAGATTCAGAAGAAAAGGACTCACTAGTGGAAATCTTGACCTTTTTCTTTGGCTGGGCGTTTAGGATTAGCTTCTGGCTTGGGACAAACTCTGGATCTGTAAGCCTCTCTTCTGACTCCTGGCCTACTGGCAGCAGGGACTCAGGCAAGCATTGTACCTTGTCTGGAAGTTTGGCCCCTGACTTGACCTGCACAAAATGATCAGTGCTCTGCTGTTGGGCTTCATCGAGGGCCTTGTCTTTAAGGTGGTTAGGGTCGTTTACATCCTGTTGAAGCATTTCCGGGAGAACGCGTCTGCGGGCATTTATGAACCAGTTTGAAATCTGAAGAAATGATAAATTAGTTTGCTCTGACAGCATTCGTTTCTCCGCCTCTGAAGGATAGGCCTTAAACCGGTGCTCATAGAGCCAGTCGCGGAGAATCTTCACGGACTCTGATGGCAGGTACCCTTTCCGTTGCCTCTTGTTCTCTGTTGAGGTTAGAACCTTGTCTGTACTACTGTTAGGTTTCGATGTGATTGAGGTTTCTTGGACCTGGCCTTGGATTTCCGATGTGCTATCCTCGGTGGCCTCCATGTTCTTGAGGACTGTGTTCACAATCTCTGGAAAGTCTGGAAAGGCTGAGGTAGGATTAATGTAGGTCTGGCAGATCCAGAAAAAAAGGCATGTACAGTTTTCTAAAGTCTCACCCGTTGCTTCCCAGGGAGATAAACGGAGTTGCTAACCGCACAATCTACAGGCTCTGTGACGTCACATCCCCTAAACGCATTACGTGCACTGCCCCTCCCCTCCATTTCCTGCTTCACCCTCATGCCACTGTTCGGTTTTTTCCATAGTTTCCAATGCGCATGTTTTCACCCTAGGAGTTGGGAGCTCTTTGGAGTTGTATTTCTCTCCCTCTCCAATTTCCTTTCTCTGAAGAAATCTGTTTTTCTAGTTAAGTCCATTGTTTTCTTTCATTTTGATTTTACTTTTCCATGTTCAAAGACAATCTTACTAATAATTTTAACTACACTTTTGCACTAATAATTTTAACTACACTTTTTTCTTCTCTATGACCTTGAAATCTGTGACTTTGTAATAACATCATTGTGGCTTTTGGGTCATGATAGCCAACAGAAATTAAGTAACCAAGAGAAATTGTTTTTGTTGTTAGAAATGTGGAGTACTATAGGTTTTTAGAAATAACTAATTGCAGACATTACAGATTGAGTTGATTTGAATTTAACCACCACAGGGGATCTTAAGTGACCTACATCCCCAGAGCTTTTTTTCCATTTTTTTTTTTCCTTTTGGTACCAGGGATTGAACCCAGGGGCGCTCAACCACTGAACCACATCCACAGCTCCTTTTATTTTTTAGTTTGAGACAGGATCCCTAAGTTCCTGAGGCTGGCTTTGAATTTGTAAACCTCGGGCCTCATCTCCCTAGCTGTTGGGATTACATGTGTGCCACTGTGCCTAGATATCAAATTTTTGAGGCAGAATCTAACTAAGTTAGTTGCCCAGGATGGCCTCAAACTTGCAATCTTGCTACTTCAGCCTACTACTTCAGCCTACCCAGTTGCTGAGATTATGTGCCTCTACCATTGCACAAGACAAATATTTTCTTGATATTTCAAGTACATGGAACTCACCCCCTCCCATGTTAGATGAAGCTAATATGTAAATTGTGACTTGAAATAAGCCAAAATTAGTGGTGTGGTTACTGAGCTCTATTAAATTTGAAAATAAAAGTTGTCAAGGAGGGCACATTTTTTTTCCTTCAAATTTAAATTATCTAGATAATTATTACCAGCTATTATGCATATTGAAACAAATTGAAGAAACATGTAGGATCCAGCAATAAACTTCAGTATTGGAAGGACTGGTGGTATGTGTAATGTATATGAAACATGAAATAAATCAACAAACAAGGATGAAATACAAGATAATTATTTCCCAACAAGACTTATAGATTTTTTAGTTTATTATTGACTTTGTTCAATTTAAGAAGCAAATGATCTTTGAACTTAAAATTTATCATAGCATTAATGTAAAGGAAATGTTTTCCAATTTTTAAATAAATCTTGCATGACCTGGTGTTAAAATCTCATGAAGTAGGGCCAAAAAATGTGTCATATTCACTTATAAAATCATAAATTATTACTCAATAAAATTTTGATTGAGGCTAGGGTTATAACTCAGTGGTAGAGCAACTTGTAAGGCACTGGGTTTGATACTTAGCACCTCATAGAAATGAATATATAAATAAAATAAAGGTATAGTGTCAATCTACAACTAAAAAAAGAATATTAAAGATGACTCAAGAAAAATAAAACATGTGAACAAGTGGATTTCAATCCAAGAAAGCAAATATAAGATCAGAAAAAATATATATATATATATATATAGAGAGAGAGAGAGAGAGAGAATATACACACACAGTTTTCAGATTAATTGTTAAAAATGTTTTATCTTGATGGAAGCTAATGATACAAAATGAATTTCTTTTTTTTAGAGAGAGAAATTTAATATTTATTTTTTAGTTTTTGGCAGACACAACATCTTTGTTTGTATGTTTTGCTGAGGATCGAACCTGGGCCACTTGAGCCACATCCCCAGCCCAAAATGAATTTCTGATAGACATGTCATATGAAATCAAGCAGAGAAAGATGTTTTCTTCACATAACAGATTCCATAGAGACTTAAGCTCTCTCATACATAGCTTTGTACTTCATAGTAAAGAAAATGTTCTTTTAGTTTCATGAGCAAGGCAAACATGTTTCATTTCACTACTATAATACTACTTAGAAGTTTGAACCAATAGAATCAATAAAAAAGTAAGTGCCACATAGAAAATATTCAAAAATCAGTTCAGAAACAGCTAGAAATAATAACATTTAAGTGAGGTGGCCAGTTAACAAATAAAAGATGAAACAATAACATATACCATCAAACTTATTTAGAAAATGCATTGCAAACATTATGTAGTACATAATCATAAGTAAGAATAAAGATAAGAAAACTTAGGTCTAAATCTAGTTATTACTTTCTAGTCCTATTGAAAGACAAATATAGACTTCTATTAAAGATGATAAAATGAAAGCTGGGTGTGGTAGCACATGCCTGTAATACAGAGAGGCTTGGGAGGCAGAGGCAGATGGATTGCAAGTTCAAGGCCAGACTCAGCAACATAGGGAGGCCCAGTCTCAAAATAAAAAATAAAAAGAGCTGGGAATATGGCTCAGTGTTTGAGCGCCCCTGGGTTTAATCCTTGGTACAAAAAAAAAAAAAAGAGAGAGAGAGAGAGAGAAAGAGAGAGAGAGAGAGACAGAAATTAATAGATGTAGCATTTATTTTCTTTTTGAATAGGAAAAGGAAATCTCACTGTTTTAATTTAATTATCTTTATTTTTATGTTTTTATTATTATTTTGGTACTGGGATTGAACACAGGGGCACTTAACCACTGAGCCACTTCCCCAGCTCTTTTTTTAATTTTTAAATTTTGAATCAAGGTCTTACTAAATTGCTGAGGCTGGCTTTGAACTTGCAATCCTCCTGTCTCAGCCTCCTGATCACTTAGGATTACAGGCATGTGCCATTGTGCCCCTACTCTTTACAAATATATTTGAATATATTACCTATAAAATACTTCTACTCTGAACCTACTTTTATCTTCTGCCTTGTTGAAATGTTAAAAAATGTTTCTAAACTTTAGTTGGAAGAATAAATATGTGATATAATGTGGCATTTTTGAAAGAGCAAACTGAAGTAAAAACATTTCTCTTACTAGATATTATATTTGTAAGTAGCAAGTCATTAAAATGACATCATAAATATCATAAACATATATGCATAAACTGGTCAATGAAACAGAATACAAGAACAACCTCATGGACTTTATGGGACTGTGCATGATAGTTAATCTTTTCAATTTCATTGATGAAGAATGCTTCTTCACCCCTGAAAATAAAGAATATTGCCAAAAACACCAGAAACCTGGAAAGTTTACTTTGGTTCACTTACAATTTGCAGAAAATTGTAGGACTATAAAGGAAACTATCATTAATTTCACTTTAGTGAAAATGTGGTAGTGTTAGAAAGCATAAGGAATACTGACAAATTCATTTAATATACTTAGGAAGGATGAAGATGGGAGTGTTATGTTTATATAAAAAAGGATAAGTAAGGTAAAGTGAATAGACATTTTAAAAAGAAGGAATACTTTTGTTTTTACAATAAGTATGAAAGTATTAGGAATTTTATCTCCTATGTAATACTATTATGAATTCCCATGAAATTATATATTTAAATATGGTTCTTATGATTCACACAAAAATAATTGCATAAAAATCATTATAAGATTAAAGACTGTATAATGTAGCTATATAAATGCTAGAAATCTCTGTATAAAAGCAACAGACAAAAACCTTTATAACCATACTAAAAAAAAAGACAAATGATTAAAATATATTATTGGTAATATATATGACATGTAATACATAAATAAATTTATTATTGCCCTATTCCCTACAAATCAATAAAGATCTAGATTGTACTAATAGAAAAGTGAGCAAAAATTTTGGACAATATATAAAAAAATACAAATGACTGACCTAAAAATTTAATTACTTTTTATAAATAATCAATAACATGCATATAAAAGGAAATTGGGTATGCTTTTCTCATAGCGTATTGGTTAATACTAAATAGATTCTAAAAAACGATATTTTTGAGAGTCTGTTAAAATATGTATATAAATGCACTTTTTTTAAAAAAAAATCCTTATTTTATTTATATACTTTTATGTAGTGGAGAATTGAACGCAGTGCCTCACAAGTGTGTGAGGCAAGCGCTCTACCACTGAGTCACAACCCCAACCACTCAATGCACTTTTGGTGGCATTATAAAATATTATATCCTTTTAGAGCTGTTATTTAAGAATGAGTAAAAGAAAAATAAAGTGTTAAAACAAGGAATGTTTATGGAGTTGATCATGTGGAAAATATTTGATAAAATTATAAATACATAATATACAAAATTGGCTTCACATAGTTTATTATTATTAAATTAAAACAGATTATAGGTTTGATAAAATAAAATAATTCTTGTACTACTGAAAAGAATCTAGTAATTAAGTTCAATGGCATAGACATGTAGTCAAATGTTATGTGTGGAGGATGTCCAAAAGCAATTCAAAAACAGCATGCAAATTTTTATCAATTTTGGGAAAAAGAAAGTCAAAGTATGTACACGCACAAAATGTATGCATTGTGCCCATGCCTTGTTTGTGTGTGATTATGGGTGTAGAAAAATATCAGTAATTTAATTCCTTAGGCTAGGATTTCAGTGCTCAGTTACAGAGCACTTGCCTGCTGATACTAATTTTGGCAATCAGGAATGGGTCTTTGTTCCCTAGTGTTGAAGCTCAAACACCTCAAGCATAGAAAGCAAGTTTTATTTAAGAAAATGATAGAGACAGAGTGCTCCCAAGAGAATTAGAGCCTTGGAGCCTTGGAGCCTGGGAGCCAAGAGCTGGAGGGAGGGGGCTTCTTCTTTTATATAAATGTGGAGGATAATCATTAGCAACATAAAGCACCCAGGAGCACAATCACAGAGGTTAACAACCCTTGGTCCCCTCTTTGATGACTTGTCTTCATCCTTTCTAGACCCCCATCATTCATTGCCTACACTGACTGCCTATCCTTCACCCCCTGCTTCAGTTTGCTGAGGAA